TTTTTTTTTCTTTTTTCCTCCTTGAGACCTCTGTTTTAGCAAAGATAGCTGAAGGAAAGCTTTTCCAATGCCTAGGAATTTATTTTGTGCTAAAAATAGTTCTTATAAATAACTTTCTTGAACAATATTTTAGCTGCAGTAACAACGAAAAGATGCTAACAAAGCTGGAAGCATTGTATCTGCTCCTTGCTATTTTGATTGGGTTTTGGGAGCGTAATTTTTTTCTATTTTAGTTCCTATTATTCCCACGTCAGCAGAAAATAAAAAACATGTTCTGCAAAATCCAGACTTTATTATTCTATAAAAAATAAAATTCAGACTACATTGTAAGCTGTAAATTATGGCTTTATTACATTAAGTCAATTGGGAAGAGCATATGATTTGTGGGATTGGTATAGTTACTGATGTTTACAGCTTCTATTATCATAAGATCCCTCCTTTAATTGTATAAAAAATATGAAAATACTGGAATCCCAGTAACTGTCCCCTTGGGACGATATTAAGTTTAGAGATTGTTACCTCTATGCTTCAGAAAGGCTCCTTGGGGGGCAAACTCACTGGGATGGAGAACCATGGGGCATTAGACCACTGCAGGGCCTGGCAAGCCACGTACAAGAAGAAAGTATAGGAGATCCCACTTGCGCTGTGAAAAAATCTCACTATCTGCTGTGCGGATAGAGATGCATGGAGACCAAATGAGAGGCCTCTGCAAAAAGTTCACTGGAGGAATATGGAGGTTTTGACCAAGATGGCGGCAGTAGGATGGAAAGAAGCTGATAGATTCAAGAGGTATTAGGAAGTGGAATGTAAGTAGTATTGATAATCTTGCTATGTGTCTTTTTTATGACCTTTTTCACTGTTCTATTCCCCAGCTTCCCAAGGCCTGGGGGAGAAACCACAGAGCAGGACTTCCTGTTATTATCTGATTTCATTTGGTTACATTGTTTCTCAGATTCAGGTGCCTTCTTTGCTCCTTACTTCATGCTTATCACTGTGGTTTCTAACTGAGCCCTTTGTATTATTAAGGTTGACCTTGGAACTAGCTGTCTGTGACCTGAAGGACAATGGTTTGCATTTCCTCCGGAAGTGACACTAAGACCACACATGCCCCCTTTGATGATCTACCTGTTGCTCCTGGAGGCAGGAGTACTAGAAGCCTGTCAAAGCAGCTCCCACCCTTCCGCTGACTTCCATTTGACAAGGAAAACTCCAGGAGCAATCCCAAGTTTCAAGGCAACATGTCACGGATGAGTCTACCGCACTCGGAGCCTCTGCTGAAGTCAACAGAATGGTCTTCTGGTTGTTTTACTGAAAAACCAACAGTAGTCGGAATGTATTTATTACCGTATTTGGTGGATTTCAGTAACGATCTCATTATGACCACCCTCGCACTATACAAGGCCTCACACTGTAGTAAAAGAAGCAAGAGAAGGTCTGAGTTGGCCTGAAACATCTGTCCACTAGTTAGGGAGACCCTCTACCAGGTGAGGCTGAGCATAATTGGGCCATTACCAAATCCCACTACAAAATAAAAAAATTTACAGTTTCGTTCTCGTTGGTTTTCCTGTGAGACACGGGTCATCGAAGGCTGTTCAAAACGGAGCAAGAGTATCCCTAGTGGGTTTTGTAAGTGTGACATCCCAACTCCAGGGACTCTACTATTGTCCCTAAGTGGGCAGGCCGCCATTTAGGACCCATTTCTGGCCCAAAGCCATTCTAAATATCTATTTTTACAGTTGTGAACATGATTGAATGGCAAGCTCAGAGATACTGACACCGAAAACTAATTTCTTCAGTAAAGACACCAAGGTTGCCTTAAAGGCAACAATATTCCAAGAACAACTTAATACAACCCTTTCAGAAAAGATCTGTGGGTATATATGCATGGAAGCAAAGTCAGTGGTACCTACTTCCACCCAGGGCTATATGTACATACTTGGTTTAGTGCCCCCAGACCTGGCCTCAAGTTACAGAGAGCATCAGCTGCTTCATGGAGACATCTTTTTGGAGGTGAAGCTAGCTACCAAATGCAAAACCTAACATTTTCCATCTCGTGCTCTTTTCTCCTGGACAATAACAAGGCCCTAATGCAATGCATTTGATGATGTCAATGCCAAATGTTGTCCAGTGTCCATCTTAAGATAATTAAATTTCATGCTTACTACTTTCACATAAATGAGTCCATTTGAAATGACAAAACAAACAAAGCTTGAAAGGAAATTAGAAAAGCAATGTTCTATAGCTTACTTTAAAAGTATTTGCTGCAGTAATGGCCATATTTCCATTTGTCATGATGATGGCTATCAGGCTTGATCAAATACACGACTATCCTCATTTTTTGTATCAAAAGTTTTCTCTGTCCATACCACAACTGCTCTCTAAGGAAGTGGAGTCCAAGGAACTGGAGAGTCAATATTTCAATAGGTTGAGCTCTGCTGTCACAATGGGAAGGAAGTGAGAGTTCCTTGTATCCAATTGGGGACGACGTACTTTCTACTAACAGAAATGAGAATCTGAAAGTCTGGAAGGATCAGGGTAGCCCACATTTCTCTTCTGTTTTCTTGATCATTCAAAAATCCTGGGCAAATCTTGTCATTGCTGATGAATACTGCCTAAGAGACAGTTAACTCCCATCACGAGGTGAGTTTTTAATGGGAAGGTTTTATGCAAGGCGGAATATGTCTCCTTGATGCATGATAGTACCTGTCTCACTAATGCAGGCTCTGAGACCAGGAGTCCACGAGTCATTTGTTCAAATGAAATAAAGCCTATTAGTCTTGCCGGTAGTCACCTGCTTCGTTGTTTAACACCAGCCAGATGATGTAATCTGTCCCTTTCTTGTTTACAGGAATGTTTCTAAAGAGGCAATCAAACATTGCCTCAGTCTGGGTAGGCAGAATGAGGCCACTGCCTGGGTCTTAATTACATACAGTAGCAAGCAGAAGTTCAGTGTTAGAGGAAAGATAAAGAGGGAAACTATCCTTTTTAAAAAAGATGTTTCAAAGGATTCAGAAACATGTGTCCTTAAAATAAAGATTTTAAGTCTCAGAAACAACCATAGGAACACACAGTCTGGAGTGTTTTTTTAAGAGAGCAAAATTACCTGGTCTGGGAGAAAACGGAGTTCTAGCTACTTGCTCCTTAATGAATTTCAAAAGCCTTAAGGAGCTACACATGAAAGATTATTACTAGTAATTTCTGCTGTCCTAGGGGTCAATATCCAGAGCAGACACAGAAGCCATACACTGACAATTCTGTGAGTTCTTGTCTATACGAAGGAAGGTTTTCAACTTTGCTGTGTTCAGAGCCTTTCTACACAGAATGTACGTTCATCTTTATATTCTCTCCACCCTGTTTCTACCTAAAAACAATGGCAGAGTTCAGAGCAAACCAAACAAATTATGATTATTAATTTTAGATGACCGTTATTGAATATCTTTGCAGAGGTCTGCATTTTAGTTCTGAATCATGGATTTCAGAGGAACACAAAAGTGTGAGGATAAATTTGCTCCCTGTTACTCCATCTTGACCAGATGCGGCAGTCATATGAACTCTTTATGCAGTCATCTTAAACTCAATTTGTCTTATCCACATTCTATTTACCTTTAAATGTTAGTCATCGTCTTAAATATGTAGTTTTTATATAATTAGATGTATTGTGTTCTTTTTTTAGAAATTACTTCCACTAATTTTAAATTTGGAAAGTTGTTTCTACAAGCCCAATAAATCAGATATTCACTTATTTTTCTGTTTTGTTTTTGTTTTTATTACATTTTGTTTCATAATTTAGTTCTGGAATTAATGGTAGGATCAGATGTGAGCCTCTCATTTCTTTTTCTCCCTGAGTTGCTAATTTTATTAAAATAAGTTTTGCATAATATGCCCCTTCTCTCTTTTACTCATGAAATTTCCTATATAATATTTAAAATTTTTACGTATTCTAGAATTTGTTTCATCTCCACTTATGTTTTATTTTGAGCTGTACATTTCAATTATTGCAGCATTATAGTACATTCTAATATCTGAACAGGTAAGCTTTGCCTCAAGACTCCCCCTTTTTAAAAAATATTATTCTCATTTACTTATTTTGAACTTCAGAATTATTTAATCAAGGCCTCGCTTTCTGCCTCCCTCCTCCCAAGATTAATTCCAATGGGATTTTGGTTGGAATACATAAATATCTTTAGAATATCTGGTCTCTCAGGATATGGTACATCATTTCATTTTTAAAAAGTTTGCCTTTACATCTCTCATGAAAGTGACAAATCAATTAAATGTTTGTGATTTCTTTTCTTCTGAGACCACAGTAGATTTTAACATTGATGACAGTCGCTTTTGGGGACTTGATCCCACTAGTGTTGAAAGACTTAGCTCTGCTCTTCTGATAACTCTGTCCTGATCCCTCATTCTTGTCCCTTTCCACACAGTTTTACTTTAAAATGCATTGAGTTTAGGAAATGTAAACATATATATTTTTTCTTTAAATAAACAACTAGAATGTGTCAAATTGAGAGGTTTCTACTCCTTGAGAAAGTTTGGGTATTAAAACCCAACAAACCCTCTATCTGGAAAACTCCAAGCTTAGGGAAAGCCTTTAGAATATGCCTGGCTTACAGAACACGATGTAAGATTATCTTATCCGTCTGACTCATTAACTTTGTTAATAGCTGTACTCATTCATTCATCCCTTCCCAAAATATTTGTGGACTCCTAACACTGGCCAGGCCCTACTGGTCCCCGTGGAGGAGCCGGGCTGGGGTGACAGGGGAGGTAAAATGGTGAATGAGATATGGTCCCAACTTTCAAAGAGCCAACCATTTGGGGGGGGGGGCGTGGGGAAGTGTCGAGGGTAGGGAACAGGGACAGACTGTGGTTGCTGCTTAAGGGAACCCAGGGCCGCGGGGGCAGGTGACAGGCTGACCTTAGGCGACGCCGGCCCTGGAGGAAGGCGGGAGCATCCCGCGGAGAGGGGCGCTGCACCCTCAAATCTGCACGGCGCGGTCGGGCGCCGAGGGAGGAGTGGGGTGCACCCCCTACCCCCTGGGTGGGGCCCAGGGGAAGAAAGCGAGCGTCTATTCGGTCTGCAATGGGACGCCGCCGGCGCAGGTGCGCAGAGGGAGCTGCTCTGATGAAGGGGTAAGAAAGGTCTCGCGTGTCGCGGTGTGAGTCGTCGGCGGTGGTGATCGGGGGAGACGGGAGGATCGTCTCGCCCTGTGATCATCGACCCGAACGCCTCGTCCTCGCTTCCGACCTTCCAGCGCGTTCGGTAGGCACTGAAGGGACGCCTGAAACCCATGCTAAAGAAGGCGGCCGTTAAGGGAAGCGGCCGTGGGTTGGAAATGAAAATGGGCCGGGTTGGAGTGGGGCGGCGGATCAGGACACAGGCGAGCTGGCAGAGGGGTCGGCTGAGAACGTCCACTCACTGAATTTTTTTCTTTTTTTTTTTTACACTGGACCTGACTTGTTCCCCGTCACATTCTCGAGCTCCAGGCTACAGCGCTGCGCTCAATGGCCCCGCCCCGGAACCTTGTGTCGCCGGAACTAGATGCCAAAGTTCCTCTCTTGACTGCCGGACGCGACTCTCAGGGACGCTTCCGGTGAGGCAACATGGCCGCGGCTGTTCACGACCCACGTGTGCGTGCGGGGAAAAAGCTGAAACAGTCACTCAAGAAGAAGAAGAAGATGAAAACGGTAGCCAGGGCCGTAGCATCGGAGCTGGAGGATGAGGACAAAGACGCTGCTGGCATTGGAGGTGACGTACCGGGGCTGAACTTTGGCTGCTTAGAGGAAAGGCCAGGCTGAGCTTGCGGGAACCAGGGGATGCGAGGGGACTTGCCGCTTGCCTCCCGAGTTTTAGCTCCGCGCGGCGTCGTAGGGGCGACTTTTGGCTCGGGGAGAAGGCTTCGGGGAAATGGTGTTCAAGGAAGGGACGCTGTCACCTGTTCGAGCTTACGCGTTCTTTCATAGAGCTTTTCAGGGTCGCTGTTATTAACTGAAACGGACGAAACTGCTGCCGCCTACGGCAGCAAAAAGAAGCGTACGGTCGCAAAACGCGAATGGAAGGGGCAGTTTCTGAGATTACAAGCATGGGATAAGTCTCGTAGGGCGTGAGGAGCAAAAGCAGGAGGTGAGAGAAAGATGGATGAGAGGCACATTTTTCGTGTGACAGGTGCGTGCTTGTGCGTCGGAGTTAGAGACCAGGTAGCAAGGAATGAAAGAAGAGTAGGTGGTTCAAGTGGAATAAATAAAAGGAGCAGTTGATAACTGCCTCTCAGAGATACTTGATGTTGAAAGGAAGGGTACATGTTTCGAGGCCTTCCACCATGCTGCTTCCTCTTTATCGTCGTCGTCGTCATCCTTGCACTACTGGCTTCTTAGTTTACAAGGACTTGCAGACGACCCCTGACCTTCTGCTGCCCGGTTATTGCTCCTTTGTACTAGCTAGAGCTTTGTAACAGTCCATTTCATAATGGACCTCGGCTCATGTCAGTCATCTGCCCGAGGTGATCCAGGGGCTTCCCATCTCAGAATTACATCCCAAATCCTTAGCCTGTGCGATCTAGCTTTCTCATCTGCCACCCTGCTGCCCCTTCCTACACCACTTCCTGTAATCTAGCCATATTGATGTCGTGTGGCTTATTGAACACATCAAACATGCTCCCACACCAGGGTTTCTGCACTTGCTGGCTTCACTGCCTAGAGTACTTTCCAGATGCTTGCATGGCTCCTTCTGCCTCGGTTCCTTTAATCTCTGATCCAGTTGCCTGTCAGCGAGACTTGTCCCTGACAACCCTGTCTAATGCACTAGCACTGCTCTTCTTCCTCTCTGCCTTCACTTTTGGAATTATCACCCTGCTTTATTTTTCTCAGCATCCCCCAAACCATCTGACGTATATTTGCTCTGTCTCTCCTCCAGCTGGAATGTAAGTTCCCTAAGAGTAGAGATTGCTGTATCTCCAGTGCTTGTTGCATAGGGGACAATTCACAGATGTTTAAGTAAATGAGTGAATAAACCTGGACTTCTGGGACCAAGACGAAACTGCCATATGCTACTGCTGTCCCTAGGTACTTAGAGCCCTCATTGCCTGCCAGAGGAGTTAAGGAAAACAAGCTATTTGTTGAACAAGCATTAGAACTTTTGGCTCTGATGTGTATTTAACTCTAGTTCAGTAAACTTGTCAGAGAGAGAAACACTACTACATTTGGAGCAAAATATCAATACTGCGTACACATTTAGATGGAAATTAGATTTCTCTTTTCAAGTACTAGACAATTACAAGTTAGAACTGTTCTGACTTCTCACTGCATTATTGTAAATACTGATTCAGTTCGAAGGTTTGCTTGCTAATATAATACAGATCAATTACATGATGGGTTAAGAAGGCTTTTTGCTAATATGGAAACCTAACTATCCAATTCGGTTCAGTGAATACTTGTGTTCTGTTATATGCCGGTCACCCTCTAGGTGTTGAGGATACAAAGGATGAATAAATTCCTACCCTAGAATTAGCCTTAAGAAAGATTTTAAACACAGGACTGTAATACAATGTACTAAATATTATTAAGAGGTGGTTATAAAGGTAGTTATCCTGATCATGGTCCAATTAAGAGTAGTAAGGATGGAGACAGAGAAACCCAGATCCTGTAGAGCCCATCTGAGGCATTGCTTCCTTCTAGCTTACACACATTACTCATAATGTACGATATAGTGTTTTACTTGAACGTGTCTCTCTCCTTATAGATATAAGTCACCTAGCTTACTAGGGTCAGAGCATTCCAAGCTCCCTGTATCTTAAACACAGTATGCTTACTCTACTTCTAGCAGTGCTGTTGCTGTTCTAACATACTCTTTTTTTTTTCTTCACTTTCTCTTAACCAGCTTTCCTGTGCCCTCTAGGTTTCGACTTACTTGTCTCCGTCCATTTTTTCTTTCAAGATTTAGACTGTATCTCTGCAGTAGACATTAATAGTAAAGGATCTTTTAAATAAATTCAGTATTGTAGATCCACTGTTTATAAAATGGGACATTCTCCTTTGTTTAGCTCAGGATTTTCTACTTAATTTAAGAAATTGCTGTTATTCTCTAATAAAATCAGATATTTCTGAAAGGTGACCCATGGAAACTGCTTTTCTAGTTCAGATATTTGTGCACATGTGGCCTTGGCAAAACTGTTTAAAGTTGCCAAAAATTTTCAGGTAATACTAAAACATTATAAAGGTGGAAGATTGAACTTGGCTTCAGACACAAGAGGACTCAGTACGCAAATTATAGGCTTATTGTGTACCTGCTCATTGTATCTGGAAAATGAATCAGATACTTATCTTTGAATATTAATTGGATCCTAAAAATTGATAGGGATATGCCTTATATCAGTATTTGAAAGCAACTTCCTTTAGCAAGATGTTACTTGAATTTCATAGAAAACACACAGGTATAACACAAGTGTGATATATATTTTTTAATCTTTTTAATTTCTTTTGGCACTTGTATAAGAAAGGTAAAAAATTGTGCTGTTATGGGTATACAGCTCTTAAGTATTGTTTGTCAGACTGCAGAAGCTTCCTAGTGCTGTTAGGAGAGGCCTTATCAGCTTTGATAATGGCTGTTTCTCAGAACTTGGCATCAAGGCTGATACATGGCATAGTATTCAGTATCCATTTATCCATTGAATAAATTGGAAATTTCTCATAATGTGATTTTTACACTCTTTTCTCATATACCGGATATCATTGAGGGTAAAATTAACAGAGCTTGTATATAATGTAAACTTGAATGATAGCAAAGCGATTCAGACTGAATTTTTGGTAAATTGTAATACCCTTCAGTAGGGTTTGAAATTTGGTCATAGTGAAATGATGGGTGATCACAAATCAGGGAGATATACTGCAGGTAGAATGCCACAGTCAGCATTTTAAGTAATAGATATCAAGTGTTATAAAGGGGAGAATGACACCCCTACATGAGTTATCCTTGAACTGCTCAGATTTACTGAACTGATACCGTGTTCCAGGTTTAGGTCAGTGTATGCTTGGCCCTTATGTTTGAAGTTGGAAGAAAGAGACAGGCACACACAGCCCCCCTAGTCAGTAAATGAACTCTGATGAAGAACTATAAACAGTAGTTATGATACCCAGTACCATAAAGGGGAGGATGATACCTTCTGTCTGAGTTATCCTGAGCTACTCAGGTGTATCAAACTGATGCGTTGTCAGAGGCTTAGACAGAGCGCTAACTTGACTCTTAAGCGTGTAGCCTTAAAAGCTTGTGTAGTCAGTAAACCAATCAACCCAGGTGAGCAAAGCCTTGGCCGTCATCCAGTGCCAGGATGAGATGACCCCTCCCGCATAGAATGTGTCCCCAGGACTATAAACTAGTAGGGAGGAATGGGCAAGTTCATGTTTCCAGAATCGTTCTCGTCACATACATGAAAAATGGCCGTGTACGTCTTACACACGACTTGATAACAGTGTAGTTTACAAGGTCCTAGGAGCGATCCCTTCATTTTTGATAAACTACAAAGCTGTATTTAAGATAGAATAACCTAGCAGATGGATGTGCTTTTCATCAAACTGTAGCTTGTAGCCTTCTTAAAATAGCAGAGGAACATGCCTACGAAATGAAGTATGTCCTGGTCCTACTTGAGTGGTTCGGCAATTTATAGGCCGGGCTCAGGAAGACGCCGCTTCCAGGCTCTGTCCACGTTGGCGTGCCTGTATAGCACGTGTAATCACGTCTGACAGTTGGTCCCATGGGAGCAATTTATTTTATTTTTGGTTATTTTTATGGAAACCTGGAATTACTTAATTTTTCTCAGAGGCAAGTGCTTAAGTTTTAAAGCATCAATTTGGAATATTCTAAATTTAGTAACGATCAATAGGAAAGTTGATGTGACTTGAGCAGACAGATGATTTACAACTGCCATGGGGAGCGGTAGTTTCAGAAAGCTTTTTTTTTTTCCTTTCCCCCTTAGTCCTCTTAATAACCAGGGAGGTGTGCATTTTAGGCAAAATCAGAATTGGGATGAGGAATGGGCTGTTCCAGTGAGCTGAGGCTTGGATAGTAATTCCTTTTTAATTCAAACTTTATCAAACCAGTTAAGGAAGATTTTCAGTGCTAGTTCCGTGCCCATTAGTCTGAGTTGAGTCTTTGATTGAAAGCTTCTGGTGCCCAGAAGTCCCAACAGCCCAATCACTCTACTCCGTTAACTTTATGACTTTGGGTATGTTTTTCACTTTTCTAAGCTTCTGAATCATCCCCTTTGTAAATAGACTAATAAGAGCAACTGACAGAGTGTTGTGAGATCAAATGATTACGCATAAAAAGTGTTTTAAATGGTAGCTAGCTCTAAATACTTGTTAGCTAGTTAGTGTCAGCCTTGTTTTAACCAAGATCGTAGGTGGAATGACAATGGCAGTACAGTTCATTGCACTCCTCTGTTCTTTGACATCCTTGTTTAAGCTTTTTATTCCTGCTAGCAGATAACCATATGTGGGGTCAGGGGCAGATGGCAGGTGTGAAAGGAATCCAAAGCTTGGGGAAAATGCAGCAGGAGGTGAGAAATGCCTGTGTCTACCTCAGAGTTCTGACCCTGCCCTGGCCTATACCGGAGCCACTAGCCACGTGTGTCTCTGTAAAGTAATTCAAATTAAACTTATAATTCAGTGGCTCAGTTCTAGCCACATTTGAAGCCCTCAAGTGGGCAGCTCTGCAAATAGAACCTTTCCATAATGCAGAAAGTTCTTTTGGAACCTTTAGTTATTACTTCCAATAAGCATTCTTTGTAGCCCTTCCTTATTTCTGGAGTTTTAGAATAGAATGCAAGATTAGAGTTAATGTTTAAATAACACACAGGACTTCAAAGGAATTTTTCAATTATCTGGTGCCCTTGGACCCCTGGATGTATTCACTTCTGTTAAAGATCAGTTAGTGGGAAATGCAAAAATACCCCTCATCTTTGTAGGATACAGTATGTTTTTAAGAACCGGTTCTGCTTTCTGATTTGCATCATGATTTATCTTTGGTATCTTAGAAGTAAGTCCCGTTTTTCAGTATGCTGGGAGACCTCATTACATTGGCATTTTTAGTATATTTATGTCAGACATCATCATTTCCATTGGCAGTGAGTGTCCAAAAACTTCTGGGCTAGGACTTTAAAAAAAAATAAATAAAAACTCTGACTTTAATGAAGTCTTCCGGAATTTTTTCAATTGGTGGGGTGAGTGCTGGTTATATAAAATGGTGTTAGAAAACTTGTCACGGATTTATTGTGTTTCCATAATATGCTTGTTGTAGTCAAGCTGCGTGAAAAATACCCCACAGGAAAAACAGCCCCGGGTTAGAAGGGGAGAGCTGGAGTGGCTTTTACAGTTGTGAAGCCTCTCGGCTGCCTTTACAGTGCAGCTGAACAACGTGAAATTTGCTGCAGCTTGTGAGTGAATTCATCAGGACAGAACACGAGATGTCAGTGTTGTAGTTTTCACATTTTACCAGGCGGTGGATGAAAACATCTGCACTTAATCACCCAGATAGTCTTCATTGACAAAGACTCTTAAGCCCCTGTGCCTCTTTACATTTAGATAAATGCTTACTAGAAGAAGCACTTTTCAAAGAATTGTTCATTTTGTTACTAGCACCTGTGCAGTGCTCCTCACCCTGTGGAACAAAGTGCATGTACTATTAATATATTTATTTTCCAGCTGACTACATTCTCCAAACGTTGCTTCTCAACACATTTTGCAGGGAGCACTGGCCCTAGGACAGGAAGATGCTCCTGGGGTGAAATTGGGCGACCCTGGAATCTGGTGTATGGCAGATACTGCACCTCTTTGAATTCAACGATGGCACGATCAGCTTCTGTTTGGCAACATTTAGATACTTTTTTTTTTAATATTATGGGCAATAACATAGTTCTTATATCACCTATATTTGCATGTCAAAGCCTAGAGTCCTATGTCCTCGGATTTCTTAAATTTACTTAGCTTACAGGATACAGAGAAGGCTTCAAATTAAATATGTGGCTAATGAATTTAAAAAGAAAATCTCTCTTTACTAAATATGCAGTACATTAAGACAGTAGAATTATTAGTGATTTCTTGGTTTTATCATACTGTTTTAAACCATTGACTTACTTTATGTTTTAAGATGGTGCTTTTTAAAAATACAAAGTATTTTGCTTTCTGTGTTTAGCTCAATTTTTGTCATGTTCTGTATACTTTTTGAAGATACTTTATTGTCACTCATGCTTGAGCCCAATTTTATACATACATACATACATACATACATATATATAAATGCTTTACATGTTTTTATTGGTTTCTTTTCACAATTCTTTTAGACTATATTAAATATTTAGTTTTATCCTTTTCGTGAATTCTCAGCATTTAAAAAGTCAAGGTATTATGCAAAAATAATACCGTAATTGCAAGTATTGTAATGACTCGCTAAAACAGCTCTTTCCAGCAATTCTCTTCATTCATGGCTTCAAGTCAGGAGATGAGAGAGGATCACTCAGAAGTTCCTTTCACTCTGATCATGGCAGTAAGCTCACTTTTTATTTTTTATCTTGGACAAAAGGCTGAAAGAATATTTAGAAACAAAATGTGCACATTTGTTGAAATAATTTAAAAGAAGAAATGGGGAATTGGAGTTGAATAGGTAGAGAATTTTGAAGTAACAGCAATAAGCAGTCGGTGGGCTCAGGTAGAAGCAGCGTTTCTGGTTGCGACGCGCAGCTTGGGGAGGGCTGCGTGACCCGGAGCAGAATCCGGAAGTGAGGTGCTTCCGGCTGCGGTTGCTTTTCAGTCCCGTAGGTTTAGGTGGAGTTTCTGATCTGGATGGGGAGATGTCAGAATTCAGTTAAGCAGGGGAGCAGCAGGAACCCTGTTTGTGCCTAGGCCCTTTTTCTTCTTTACCTAAGTTAGTATTTAAGATTTTTCTGAAATTACTAATGTTGATTTTTAGTGGAGATACTTTGAAAGAAGAAGTTGAAGTTAATGGCATTTTCTGTATTAATCTTGGAGACTCACTAGTTCTGGGGTTGACGGAGGAAAGCACGTTTGTTCCCCGGGGACGCTACTGCTGAGTGGCCGTTGGTACATCTCCGAGGCTTCCTCCTCTTCGGTACCTTCTACTCCGAGCTTGGAGTTCTCATCCACTTACCCAGGACTGCAACTGATTCTTCTGTATCTTGGGCACGTGTCACCTCATTAGATAATTTTTCAAAGATGTTAACTCACCCATTTTATAAATTTATATGCAAATTTTATAGAAGGAGCCTGGGTTTTTTAAAAGATTTTTCTGCACACAAATTCAGAATTTTAAGTATCTGGGCCAGATCCCTCAGAGACGTTATTCTGACTTCTCTGTACTAATGGAAGCACTGTACCACTTTCTTGATAGATTTAGATAGTTTTTTGTTGTTATTAGTTTTTAAAACAATTCATTATTATCTCTTCATTATTCTTTTCAAATAGTTTAATGACACAGTTAAGGCCCATGGACTTGAATACGCCCTGCATTGGCCCCATGTCAGCATCTGTGACCACCTTGACAACAGGATATGGTGGGGGCTGTTGGGTTTCTTTGCGAAGCCACTGTGGCCTCCCGTCAACAAGGCCAGGCCGGGTCTTTGGAGGCTGACGGCAGTAGGATGGAGGGTCCCACCATTACTGCTATCTGCTGTTACTGCAGCTGGCAGACTTGGAAAAGTCCCCGCTTGCAAGAATGGAGACAGATGGAGACCCGTTAGCTTCATGAAGGCTTCCAGGTGTCTGACAATGGCCTTGGCCTCCTCTGCCTCTGGTATTCAAGTTTCATTTGTTTCTTCTTACAGCTCCTGTAGGAATCGCTAGATCAGAAAAGCATCACTTTTCTTCTGATGATGAAGCAATAGAAGCTGATAATGAAGATGAACTTGAACCCCATGACAATGACAGTGAAAATGCCGCAGAAGCTAGTGTTGGAACCAATGTAGGCTGGGCAGATGCCATGGCTAAAATCCTTAACAGAACAACTCCTAAAAGTAAACCTACCATTCTGGTCAAAAACAAAGAGCTGGATAAGGAAAAAGAAAAGTTAAAGCAAGAAAGACTAGAGAGGAGGCAACAGGTATGTCCCCAGTTGTTTTGTAGAATAGACCGTGCGTGTAGCCTGGCCCTTTCCTGCACCACGTTGTTCCGTGCAGTGTTTGTTCAGTGGACATCTCAGAGTTTAGCTCACTTTCGGTGGGGGCTGGAGAACCTAGGCTGTGTTCAGGTGCCTCGTCTAAATTACTCCGTTGAACCTGTTCACCTAAACAAAGCAATAGAAACTCCAAGGAAACTTATCCTTTTAAAACCAAGTCATTACACATGTAGCAGTGACTCCTGGCATTTCATTCATTTCAGCTGTCCATGAGTAACTTTATAAGGTGTCTAATTAGTAGTCACATTACTTTTTCCTAAAACCTATTTTATAATATAAATCTGTGAAGATATTGTCAGAGGTTGGTTGTAGCCTTGAAAACCAGCTATTTCACTGTGAGATAACCTTGAATCCATTATACCTTTTTGTTAAACCTCTGATGGTAGAAGTTAGATTTGTATAATCTGCTAATTAAAGGCCAAAGCTGGACTTCAGTTTGCTGTTGTGTATTATAAAGTTTAAGAAACTATAAGGTTTTTGCATCCTTTGTACTTACTGAAATATTTCTGTCTAAAATATTTGGTTATTAAATAAGTATTATTTTTTTAATGAAAGAAAAATAGCTTTCTACAGTTAAACTGACAATATGAAAGTACTAATCCAAGAGGTACTTTATAGGTGAAAATAAAAAGAAAAAAAAAAAACAGGTTTGAATTGGCATGTATTCCCTTTTGAGTTCTGCATCCCCATATCTTGTTTCAGGATGAGTGTTTTCCTTGCTTTTGATGGTGGATGCTCTGTGTGAAAGGCTATAGAAAGATGGAACTTTTCCAGCACTGCTCTTAGAAGCAGAACAAACTGTTATTAATTTAATATTCTCATTGTACTTGAAGGTACATCTTGTCTCCAAATCGTACTGATAACTTTTCAACTGAAAAATTGAATCTGTGCTTATCTCGCAAAACCTACAAGAGGCTTTAAACATATCAGACTCCTTCCCTCCCTCATCCCAGTGTGGCAGTGAGAGTAAGAACCACATTTGAAGCCACGAGACGTGAGTCTCCAGCTCCGCTCTGGGCCGGAGCTTTGCTGGGGCGATACTGTTCCCTCAATGCATGAAAGCGCGCTTGTGGCCACCGGAAACAGGACACGGCAGCTACAGCTGCTTTCAGTGTACATTTCTGGTTAGAGTAGATGCAAATTAGCATTGTTTCTGAATGTTAATAATTATTGGTTTCCAAGATATTGCATACTTATTTCAAATCATAGGTATGAAAATATATTTCAGAGTTAAAAAATATTTTGGGATAACGCATGCCTATTAATCCCTTGGGTAGATAATGCAGAATTGACGGTTTTAAACGTAAAAATAAGAAGTTTTTATTTCTGGCATAATCTGGTAGTGAATTCATAACAGTTAAATGATCTGATTTGGGGAAGAATCTATTCCCTTAGAAAATGCTAATCTTTCTAGATTAGCCTGGGAAGAGTAGGAATTTGGTTTTACTGTGATTAGACCTTTTTATTAATACAAAATGAGAGATCAGGTGAATGGAGAAAAAGAACAGATAAAGGAGAGACTTTTCATTGGTACTTATTACTGGTTTTGATGCTCTCCGGCTTCTTGGTGATCAGTTCACCATATTCAGTATATTTGATACTTAGTGATATGCTGGCCTGAGAAGGGGACCTGGAGAAGCCGTGTTCCAGATCACGTGCCTGGGACCAGAGTGCTACTCTAGACAATTCGGCATTAGGTTATGTTGTCTGGGGTTTCTTCTTTCCTGGCCCCCCTTACACCTCTGTGTGACAGCAGAGAATCGATTGGCTGTGCTTTGTGGCTGAGATGCCCTACGTGGCCAGGGCGGTGGTCAGGTGTGCAGCAAGGCGAAGTGGATTTAAATGATTCGGGGGAAAGAAAAATAATCACTGTATCAACAGCATTTCTAGACAGAAATCTCCTCATTTTAAAGCTGATAGAAATTCTTAGTATTTCTGACCGCTGAGAACGTCAGTTTCTGAAAATAAAGAGAAACAGTGCGTAGCGTTGTGGTTACCGTAGAGGGTCGTTTGGGTCTTCCTGACGCCCACCTCTGGTGCTCTGGTGCTGGCAGGCCGGGAATGTGGCTGTCCCACACCCACCTTGTCCTGCCTGGCTCGGCATGTTGGCAGCACGCCAGGGCCCTGCTGTCAGGCGGCCTGACAGAAACTCACTTTGTGCCTGCCACATGACACGCTGAGTGCTAACCGCAGGCTCCCTGAGCCGAACCCCTAAAAGCAGGGCTGGTTTTTAAAGACCTCGTGACAAACTAAGCCAGAATGATTTATTACCTTTGTCCTTTCAGAGTATCATATCAAAGTGTGCTGCTCTTTCAAAAATGCCTAATACTCTTTCACATAACAATATTTGTTACACAGCTTGATAAGAAGCGGGAGTGGGAAATGCTGTGCAGAGTAAAGCCAGATGTTGCCAAAGACAAAGAAACGGAGAGAAACCTTCAGAGAATTGCCACGAGGTAAGACCGTGTGTTTGCCCTTTGAAAACTATGTGTACTGGAGCTCTGCGAGGGATCCACTGCTGACTAGATTTGATTTGTAAGCTCTGCCGTTGCAGAGCCAAGTGATTTATATCTGAGCCTATTTAATACCGAGTTCAACCGAAGATCCTACAGGTCTTGTGAGGCAAGAGTAGAATGTGCTAAGTGTATGTGCGCTGTGACTCTACTTCACATCATCTTGTTTTTATAGTCACAGTGCAGTGGAATCAGACCGCTTGCCGCATTTCTCTCATGACGGTTGTCCAAATGTATGGCCTTCGATGAGGATTTTTGTTATCTTGCGTTGTATTTATGGCATAACAAATTGCAGGAGAGCAACTTCCTGCTGTCCTTCCACACTGCATTTTTTTATCAGTGGCGCCGAGCATTTACTGGATGCCCTCTGTGTCCAGATAAGTGGCATATGGTGGCTGCTGGGTGGCCCTTGCCCGCTCATCTGCAGGAATTATGGTCTCTGAGAATAGAGGTCCGTCTCACGTGTTGGGGACATACAACAGGAGATTGAGTAGGGGAGGAGGGGAAGGTTCACAGAGGCGCTAGCACAGGGCTTCCTGCCTGAAGGATATAGCAATTATGTTTAGTGGAGTTACTTTGAACTTCCCAGTCACCTGGGTTATTTTGGTCGTTTTCTAATTACCAGGCTGTTTTACAGTGAGATAGTGAGGGAAGATGGGCGGTAGAGCCTGACCGCCAGGTTCAAATCCCAGCCCTGACCTGCTGCGTGTCCTTGCGCAGCTACTTCATTTCGCTCTCTCTCAGCTTACTTATGTGTAAAGCCAGGAGAACATTACACCCCCCATAGGCTTTCTCAGAAAATGAAATGAATTAATACATCTAAAGAGCTTAGAAAAGTGCAAGGCTGCTGCATGAGGGTCAGTGCCCGAGGCACCTCGCTTTCCTCCCCTTGGCCCCAGCCCTGCTGTGAAGGGAATAGAATTTTACCCTGTTTATAACCCAGTAAGCCAGCCTGTTACGGTGTCTTGGATGCTGACAGAAGACCAGAGACCTCTGGGTCAGAGACAAAGGACTTCATTGCTCATGGCAACAGCAGTAGGCAGAGCGCCACATTCCCTCTGGTCCCCTTGGTCCCACAGCGGCAACACCGGTGCCGTCAATGCGCGCCTGCTCGTGCAGTGGGCCGTGTCACAGGAGCGGAGCGCTGAGCGTGGGGCTCTGCTCTCTCATGGTCAGTGGCAACAAGCCTGCTCTTGTCGGGGGGAGCCGGTACCTCATTCCTCAAGGTGGCTCGCTGCACACAGCCCTGAGGGCTGCCCTGGGTAAGAGCGGTCAGGGCCGGGGGTCCTGGGGAACCCGCGAGGGTATGCAGGATGCCCAGGGCCTGCGGCGATCGCCTCGCCCACGATCTCAGCAGGAGAGGTAACAGGTTCTAGGATGTTCGAGCCGGATGGGATAGGCAGGGCCTAAGTCGGTGCTGCCCAGTAGAAGTGTGTGAGCCACATATATAATTGAATTTTATCTTGTAGCCACACTAAAGACGGTGAAAAGAAAGAGGTGAAATTAATTTCAGTAATATATTTTGTTTAACCCAATATGGTCAAATGATGATTATTTCAATATGTTATCAAAATAAACAATTATCAATGAGAGTCTAAAATTCTGTATTTTATACTGAGCCTTCAAAGTCCAGTGTGCCTGGAAACTTGGAGCTCACTGCAGTTTAGACGGCTGCACGTCATGCGCTCACGAGCGGTGTGGCTGTGGCTCCTGTACAGCCAGCACGCGTCTCACTGCGGGATCTGCCTGTGAATGAACTTAACTACAGAACAAAGGATTTTAAGTACATATTGTTTTAAATAGGATTTTAAAATTCGTTTTATATCATAAGAGTTGCAGATAATATACCGGAAGACCTTTTAAGATACTTGGGTATTATTTTTCCCATTTGCAGGTGAAATTAAGATCTGAGAGTCTTTCCTAGAGTCACATGGTTAGAGAGCTAACTGAAGGCGTGTTCTTCCCATGACACTGGCATGCCTCAACGTCACAGATTTAAATTGCGAGAAATAGATGTGAGGTAATTGTTAGTTCTGATTGCACAGATGTTGACTTAGAAAGACCAAAGCCAAAAAGAAATCACACATCAATCCACATATATTTGTTCTTTATTCAGAAATTTATATTTAGTCATTGAAATGTATGTTCATTTTTCGGAAGTATCTCACCACGTGTTCAGCTGTCTCCATTTGAGTGCCTGCTGAGTGCTTGCCTCTTTCCTAAGTAGTAAAAACATGTTCCTGTCCTCAGAGTTTGTACCCTGGTGTCTCTGTGAAGTGACGGTGTTGTCCTGGCCGTTTTCTGACCTGTAGGGGTGTTGTGCAGTTATTCAACGCTGTTCAGAAGCATCAGAAGAATGTGGATGACAAGGTTCAGGAGGCAGGAAGCTCTATCAGAAAGCGCGCCAAGCTGATATCCACGGTTTCCAAGAAAGACTTCATCAGCGTTCTGAGAGGGATGGACGGGGGCACAAACGCGAAAAGTTCGGCTGGAAGGAACTCGAAAGCCAGACAGGTAAGACTTTCCTGCAGGGTTCCGCACAGCAGACTCTTAGCTCTCACACTGAAGCGTTTCGGGGTGAAAAAGCACACGGTAGAATTGTTTTCTTTCAGATTTTATTAAAAGTTCAACATGCCCAGAGCCTATTGTAATTTAAAAGTTTGGATTCTCAGGTTTCGCGATGCTTTATTCAGTGTGCAAGTTGCCAATTATAGAGATGCCTAACCCGTGCTGTTAGACCTCAGGAGCCATTAGACTGAGGAACATTTCTTAGAGATAAGCCATATCTCTCCTCTCTGAACTCCTGCCTTTGTACATTTTGGAGAATAGAAACCTAGGTGAGGGGGACAGCTTCAGTTTGAGACTTGTACGCACAGAGGGCATGGTGCTGGTGTGGAACTCAAAAGTATGAAGAACCAGCGCTCTGGGAAGTAAGGCGGAGAGCCATGCTTGTGCTGAGGCAGCTCGGTGGTGCTTGGCCGGGAGGGGAAGGGCATGAGCACCTTCCCTGGCCTTCGCCTGAGAACCTGCTTCTCCAGCCCGTTGGACCCGGGGACCCCAATAGGTTTCTTTTTGATGTACCAGGTGAAAGGTTCTGAAATGGACTTTCATCCCAGAAGAGCTGTTTTTTTGTCTTTTAGTTAATGAAAGCAAAGTGTGCAGTTGTATTTGATGGCTTGGCTTCTGTTGCCAACAAAAAATACTTCAATCAGGAAACGGGTTTCTGTGATAACTTTTCTGTTTGTGTTTTGGGAAACAATCGAACCTTGGCAAGAGGAGCACTTAGGGATTTCACGCTAGCCTGGGATCGAAGTCTTTCTCAAGTTTCTTGATTTAGTTGCGATTTTTTACCTAATTTTGACAAAAGTTTTCTGAGCTCTTTGTCTCTCCCTTGAATATTAAAGGACCCAAATTGTATATTTATGTAATCATGGTACTCGCTGGGCCTGCTGTTTTAAAGTGTTTGTCAGAAGTAATTATAAACACATGAATACTGTGTTTGGTTTTATACTTTATAGTTAGACAGTCTAATAGGCTGTGTTCTCACTGGTGACATTTGACGGCACGAGTTGGAGAAACGTCCAGCAGCCTGGGATGCGAGGGAGCTAGTGAGAAGCTGGAAAAGGAACAGCTCGCTTTTTTTCTTTTTCCTGTTGGTTTCAAAACCACTTTGAATAGAAACATTTGTTTTTGCTCTGGGATCATTTTTTTCATGAGTTATGAAAGCACACCAACGATTCTTTGCAATGGCATCATTGCATTTTCTTCTTGTCCTTCGCATGTTTATTCTTCCTTTCTACTTCAATGGTCACGGGCATAGTATGAGTCTGGGACAAGGTCAAAAATTGCTTGAGAGTCAAACCAAAGTGGCCTTGCTCCAAAACTAATTTGTTTCCAGAACTCCACGCCACACCAACAACACCTTGGTACATTTCTTTCTTTTGAAAATGTTTGCTTTCATATTTATGGAAAAACAACCAGACTCAGTTTTTTTTGTTGTTCTTGATTTTGCATCTGAATACCTTCAAGCATTTATAATATTTGTGATTGGGTCAGTTATTAATATCAAAAATATTTAAATACCTATTTGTACCAGGTGCTATCCTTGTGTCTTTACAAGTCTTACAATTCAGGTAGGTAAGTGACTTCAAGTAAATAAGGAAACAAGATTATTGAGAAAATGTAGAAGCTCTAAATTAGTGTGTCTAGACTACATGTTATCATCAGTTACATTAGGGCCAATAAAAAGTAAATGAAGTGGCTGTTCCTGTTGGTGGGGGGATTCTGAAGTAACTGGTAATGCTCGTTTAGGACATAGATCAGGAAATCTGTGTAGTTACTTGAAATACGGGGGCTTAAGGAAGTTGAAGCGAAGGAAGGAAGGCAGAGGTGGGAATAGACTCTGTTTCGCGAGCCCAACTCCAGAATAGTTGAATAGAGTTGGTTCTTTCCTTGGGGAATGCCCGAATGTCAGTTTCTGTCGTCTTTCTTCTGGAACCTGGGCTCTCTCCTGGAGAAGAATCCTACGGCCTGCTGCCTGTGGGGAGGGGCAGGACCCTGCTGCCAGCTTGGAGCAGATGTAGGAATTGTCAGTGGGGACCCAGCTTCACTGTTCAACTTGTCATTACAAGCTCCTTGCGTTAACCAGTGTCCAGAGGCCAAGGCATCTGTGGTTTATTAGCTTCAGGGACTAAACTACCTGTCCATTTGCAGGGCAGTCACCTGCCGTCAAAAGCAGGAGAGGGAACCGGTGCCTAGCTGCTGCTTACACAGGCTGTCACACGCTGTCGGCCAAGTTTTGTTTTTTGTCACACACGTCACTCCCCCTGCCCCCATGGCCTCATTTCTTTATGAGTACACATCTCTGATTTATAACACAAGCCTGTTCTAAGGGAGATAGGCGTTTGTGCACTACACAGCTACCTTTCATTTAAGATTAAGTGAATTTATTTATTTGTTTTTTAGCTGAGCCATCCTGCCACCTCTTGGCAGCTCAGCGGCCTCTCAGCTCAGGCCAGGAATCGAACCGGCGACCCTGTTGCTCAGAGCTCGCATTCTTGAGTGCGCTCTTAACCAACTGAGCCACCCAGCCGGCCCCTACCTTTTATTTAGTTCATGTTATATGGTTATATTTACTACTTTTGTGAGCTCCAACTTCAACTGTTAAAAGTCTGCTTGTTCGTTTTAAAACCATGCTCTTCAAGAAGGCTTTCGGTGCCTAGACTGGAGGGATTTTTTTTTTTTTTGTATGTTCCAAAGACTGCCTTTCACATTCTTGGCTGTTTATCAAGATGTTTTTAATCCTTTGATCCTGCTGACTTGCATAATATTGTTGCCTTTACAATTTTTATCTTTTTTTTCCCTCCAGTTTTATTGTATGCAGTCATTATTTCTGTAGTAAAATACTTGGGAACTCATGTTAGAAAGCTTTCCTTAAAGGCAAAAAGGGTGTAATTGCTTTTTAAAGATCACTTTTAGGGAAAGCGAGTTTGAAAAGACATAGTATTTTAAAAGATGCCAAACATACATTACGATTGAGTCATTAATTAGTTTCATCACGTCACAGTGAATCTTGTAATTGGGACTTAGGGTGTTTTTATTTTTTATTTATATTTTTGTGAGATAGGGTTATGAAAGGGAACACTGTTAGTAGTGAAAAGCCTTACAAAAAAGGATGATTCTTAGCCAGAAAATATAAATTTGGGGTACTGTATTGAACGTCGAGTTCACTGGAGGTTTGGTTCTTTGGAATAAATCAATCTGTCCAATATTTTGTATGGAAACAAAAAGAGAAACTATTTGCAAGATTTTAGTAAGTGTTCCAGGTAACACAGATGTTGCCCATGAAATTAGAAAGCCTGACACCTGGAAAAAATTATGCTGTGAAGATGTGACTCTCGAGGAATGTGCTTCAGAGAAATATCAGAAGCTTAGCTTTGACTTCAAAATGTCCCGAAGCAGACACAGAGAAGACACCAGCTCCTCCGCTGGACTCACCTCCTCTGCGGGTGGGGCTCTGCGTGTCTGAGGAAGCGTTTCTCACTGAGTCACGTGGACTCAGATGATAACAGGACAGGAAGCCCCCTTCAGTGGTGTTTCTGTTGAGTGTCTGCCTTCAAGCTAAAGAATTGCGTAAAGAAAGTAATAATTAGAACAAGTGTGCAGTGCTGTTGGAACCAGCCTATAGCGAAACAAAGTCTTTGAAAACATTGAAATGAGCATCAGAGAATGAAACCATAATGAACAGACATTCCCACTAGTCATCATTGAGGGAAAAGGAGCCGGTGCTGATTTTCCACATTCTTTATGATTTTCTTCCTCCTTGGAGGTTGGGATGTTAGGGTGCTTGCTGATGGGTTGGAGGGGGGAAAAGGGGACCCTGAGGAAGTAGGTTGGGGTCAGGTTTTTTCTCATTTGTGTCTTCGGTTAAGGAATTCGGACTTGATTCCTTAGGCATTCGGGGGCCAGTTGTAATTTTTCATCAGGTAAGTGATCTTGATCAATTCGGTTATTTTTACAGAAAAGAAGGCTGAAGGGTGGATGGACTGTGTCAGGAGACCAACCAGTGGGAGGCTGTTGCCGTAATCACAGCAAGAGGGGAGAACCCGAGCTAAGGCTGGGTGGGGTGGGGTGGGGGGTGGATAGGAAAGAGAAACTGATTTGGGAGGCAGTGTTGAGGTCACGGTTGACTTGATTTGGGGCTAACATGATTCGGACGGACAGGGGATGACTGAGGTTTACGGCCTGGGAGAGTCAGACACTGTGACAGCTTTCCCAAAGTCAAGTCTGTGCGTGCTGGGACAGGTTTGAGAGGTACAGGCTTTGGGAGGTAATGTCTGTGCCAGGTTGTAATCAGCAGCGAGGAGGAAGACAGTGAAGCTCAGGTGAAAAGCAGGGGCTCGGAGAGGCACTTGGTTATACAGGAAGCGCCCCAAAGGTACCGGCAGCCAGAATGCGTAGCGAGCAGTGATGGTGTCTCTGGGGGGCCCCCAAAACCTGAAGAGCAATTAACCTGTTTACCCAGCAGGAAAGGTGGATAATGTACTGTAGAGTTTTTCACATAATTAAATCGAAACGTTTCTAGATTTAAAGAAGTAATTGTCAGCTATTTGGAGGGAATTCGTTAATCCAGAACCTGTAAATCCCTCCCTTGAACCAAATAACTGAAGCACCATGCCAACTGCGTGCCGACATGGGACAGGCACATCGACCGAGTCCTTGGAGTTGACCCCGAGTGACTTCTCAAAAGACTAAATTGTGTTTAGGACAGTTTAAAGGAGCAAAAACTTATATTTTGTATAAGAATGGTTTTCATAAAATATTTATGTTTAGTCCTTAAAAGAATAATTGTGTCTTTCTTTCCCATTCAGAACATGTACCTATGTACAGTGATTTATTTTCTCAATATATTGAATAATTGGATTTTAATAATGTAGAGCTGTCCATTTTTTTCCTTAACGTTTCTAAGTCATGATTATTCCTTTTGCTCTTTTCTTGGAAAGCTGGCTGAAATC